GTTAGTATGTTTACACACAACTCAGTTTTTAGTGTAAAGTTGTTTGTCTACAAGAAAAAACATTTAGTTTACTTCATCGATAGGAATATCCCTTAGTGCTGGGGTAGACTCTTCTTGGTATTTCTTTTGCTGTTGATTTTTAGCGTAGTTATGTATAAGAGAAGAACAGAAGTTGTGTTTACCGTGCAGTTTCCCCTGCCCGTCTCTGGCCAAGGAAGACTCATCCCACTTTACCAGGCTAACGTCTGGGCAAGAACCAATACCATGCGTAACATGGTTAAATGATTGCTTAAATCCCCTGTTTAGAAGACATGTCCCAATTCAAGTAGAAATACAGTCAGTACAGTACTTTTCTCATCTCTAACATGGAAAAAATTAGCGTTTTCTGCAGCTGTTCAATGATTACTAGACTGACCTCACATTTGTCATAGGGATAGCGATACGCAGACCTTGAAGATGCATTTTTATGAGAACTGAAAAACTTAAATCTTTTCGTGTAAATATTTTGGAAAGCTTCACAATTTCCTCACTTTGCTGGACTTGTCTACTTGCTATAATTCCAGTGAAGCATGCTGGGAATACAGTAGGTGTCAGGTAAGGAAATAAAACTACTGTAATTGATTTTCAAAACACATTGCATAGGATCACATAATAAAAGTTTGGAAACAGAAAGTCCCCCCACAAACATGCTGTGGCTCCTCCACCATCCTCACTTGGGATGTGGTGTCCACAGTGATCCCAAGGGGTGTTCATACCCTCCAGTCCCTGTGAACAAGGTCTGCATGTGCCTCTCTGCCATCCTGTGACTACAGTGACATTTACGATGCAGTTTCTTTGAAGCAGAGGTGCTGAGGAACATACTTCATATACTTGTAGTTTTTGTGAGAGAATACTCCTGTTGACTAGTCCTATAGTTCAGAATCAATTTCTTGCACAAATAGAACTAGGGCAGCATGTTCTTTGTAACTTATTTCCTCTGTGTATGTCCTTTTGTGTAACTCCGTATGAGATATTAATTTTCTCTGGGCTCTTTCTATTAAAGACGTGGCGTTACATGGGTGCAGGCACACGGCTGTTAATAGCAGCACAGCTCGTAACAGCCGAATCTTGGAAGGGGCTTATGTGTCCATGGGTGGGTGAATGGATCGTGTGGTCTTTCTTCCTAAGCAGTACAGCGCTACTGTGCCATAAGGAAGGATAAGCTTGAGTTGTGTGTCGGAAAATGGATGCACCTTGAGGCAGTAATGTGAAGTGAAATAACCATACAGGTTAAATACCAGATCGTTTCTCTGGTGGGAGAACCCACAATATAAAGAGCAAAAGATGGCTCAGAGGATATAGGAAGATAGATCTTTTATACCCACATGTGCTTGCGGCCTAGTCTTGATTGCTTTTCATCAATGATAAAAGTGCCAATATCCCATTTCTTCCTCTCACCACCACTTTCCTTTTATATAAAATTACCTGTGATCATATGAATGGAGTTGAGTGGAAATGTGCTCATCATGTTAATTCCAAATAAGGGTATGTAACCAATTACTGTAGTAATGAGGAGGTAGTCGGCAATGCACCTGCCCAGTATCTGCAGAAGGGATAATAGATGATAATGTAGATAATGGACATCTGGTTGTTGTTGTTGTTCTGCCTTTTGTTTTGAGACAGGGTCTCACTATCGTTCAGGCTGACCTGGAACTCACTATGTAGCCTAGGCTGGCCTCGAACTCCCAGCAATCCTCCTGCCTCAGCCTCTGAGTGCTGGGATTACAAGTGTGTGCCACTGCGCCCAGTTCCCTAATAGACATCTTAAAAAGTTGTAATTCTCAACAGTCATAAAACATAGTAGTAAAATTTAATTTTTATTAATGTTAGTCAAGCAGTTGTATAAGTATTATAGTGAAAAGCTGCAGTCTTCTGTCCCGCCCATCCTACCCTGTTGTCTCATTCCCAGGAAGGACCCCTTTCAATAGCTGATCTACTGCTTTTGGTACTTACTTCTTCATCCTACATAATATGCTCATAGTATCATTTTTTGATTTTTTTTTTTCAATTTCAGACATTTTCTCTAGACTTCCTGAATTGGAGATAAGGACTGCCTTCTTCTATCCTTTGCTATAATTAGGTCACAAATTCTGGTTATATTAGTGTTTTAAAAATATTGTGTTCACAGCTGAGAACTTTATTTTTTATTTATTTATTTATTTATTTTTTTTGAGACAGGGTCTCACTTTGCAGTGCAGGCTGGACTTGAATTCACTATGTAGCCCAGGCTGGCCTCAAAACTCATGGTGATCCTCCTGCCTCAGCCTTCTAAGTGCTGAGATTATAGGTGTGAGCCACCACACCTGGCATTAGTGTATATTTTTTTTTTTTTTTTTTTTTTTTTTTTTTTTTTTTTTTTTTTTTGTTTTTCTCCGGTACCGGGAACCAAACTCATGACCTTGCGCTTGCCAGGCAGGCGCTTTGCCACTGAGCTAAATCCCCAGCCCCCTAGTGTATATTTTTGTGTGTGCAATATTTTGTGTTTTCTGGAATTAGTAATTGCGTCTTTTTGTGTATTTGTTTGGTTTCCTATATGTCTATTGATACTCAAGACTTGTTCTCTGACTTGTCTCTCAGTGTAGTGGAGTACATCAAGTACTCTATCTAGACATGTTTTATTGGGTGCTTTGTTTCTTTAATAATTTCTTATTTTGACTGTAAGATTTATAATTTCAAATACAATAATTCCTTAAAGCATCCCTTTGTCCAGCAAACTGTTCGTTTCACTCTTACAATCTTTTTAGATCTCCTGGAAGATTTAAGTCATGTGAGAAGTTTTCTTCTGTACTTGGCATTTTCTCTACTGCCTCTAAACTCTCCTTTTCTTTTTGTAGTTCATGTTGGAGGTTTTCTTTCGGTGTCTGGAAATTTATGCTGGTGGATCCATGTTGTCTTTTTGAGACAGGGTCTTGCTATGCAGTTCAGGCTGGCCTTGAGTTCACTTTGTAGCCCAGGCTGGTCTCGATGTTGCAATGATCCTCCTGCCTCAGCCTCCCAAGTGCTGGCATTACGGGTGTGCGCCACCACACCCGGCTGGTGGATCCATTTTGAAGAATGAAGTGGTCACATGCTACATAGAAGCAATGTGTATATGTGGGTATGCAGGGTCATCTGGAGAGCTTCCAGGTAGGACAGCTGGCCGCTTTCCTGGGGTCACCCTAGTGTTAGAAGTTAGAGATTCTTTTCTTTTACACTGGTCAGCTTCCTCCCAACTTTCCTGAGAGGAGAGGGTGGCACAAGCCAGGGAGTCTACTGGGAAAGGAGGTGGATCTTAGCAGTCAGCCAGCAGATGTCTACTTTTTTCCAAACTCAGATCCAGTGGGCCCCGCTTAGAGACTCCCCCAACCTTCCACAGGTTGAAAATGTTTTCTGCAGGGAAGGGAAGGGTTGGTCTCTCAGGTAGAAGGGCTAAGGGAGAGAGGTCTGAGGGCCTTATGTTTTGTGGGTTATTTTGGTACCAGGAATTGAACTCAGGACCTTGTGCTTGCCAAGCAAGGCACTGTGCTGCTGAGCTATATCTCCGACCCAACGTTATGTTTTTTAAACATGTTTTCTGTCCAATTTCTAAGCCATTGTGGAGTTTAGGACACAAGTATTCTTTGTTTTTTTCTTTTTTTCTTTTTTTTTTTTTTTTTTGTTTTTCTCCAGTACCAGGAACCGAACTCACGACCTTGCGCTTGCCAGGCAGGCGCTTTTGCTGCTGAGCTAAATCCCCAGCCCCAACACAAGTATTCTTGATGGCTTCATTATTGTAACAGTGAGGAAAATGAACCAGACATAGTGGTACACGCCTGTAATCCCAGCACTTGGGAAGCTGAGGCAGGAGAATGGTTGTGAGTTCGAGCCTAGCCTGGGCTACAAAGTGAGCTCAAGGCCAACCCTGAACTGCATAGCCAGATCCTGTCTTAAAAAGGGGAAAAAAAATAGGAAAATGCAGAAATTTTCTTATGTCAATCAATCCACTTCTCAGAATTTTGTTGATACCTCTTACATACTATCCTTTATTTCTGTGGACTTATACCTGAAACTCTTTTTTTTTCCTCTGTCATCATTTTAGCAAGGTTTTGTGAAGAAATGGAGATAGAAATGTGTGTTTACCCCACCATCTTTCGTTAGAGGTGCATTAATAATTTTTTTAAAAGCTTTTAATTTCTGTATGGCCATTCATGGATTTTATGAGTTGGTTTATCTTAAGGAAGAATATGATTCTTGAAAAAAGCATTGATTTTACTCTTATTGAAGAAATTTAAACTTACTTTTGAGGCCAGTAGGTTCAGCCTAAGGAGTGTAGCCACGATTCAGGAATAACAGCCCATACTGGATAAAGTACTGTAGGATGAGAACAAAAGAGAAGGCAGCAAGATGCATGTTCAGTGCCGTCCAGTTTGGTTATGACAGAAAAGCTCTTCAGAGTCCCTCAGAAATGATTTGTCCTGTTGAGTGTTCTAGGTCCTTATTTGTATCATTCTTCTAGGACTTAGCAAAATTACCTTATTGTTAGTCATTTTTTTTAACATCTTAACTCCCACACTATACTTTAAGCTATTCAGGCGCACAGATCCTGCCCTTGAATTGTGATTATAATTCCTGCAGCACTTAGCAGTTTGCTGTGTGTATGTTAGATGTTCAGTACTGCATCCCCACATCCTCACAGGGCTGAAGTAATTACAGATGCTTAGTTGCTTAGAGGGGAATTCACTCCAGTTCTGATCACTACAGGGTGAGCTTCTTTGTCTCTGCCAGAGGACAGTTTTCTATCCCTCATCCCCAAATCTTGGTAGCAGCCTCTCTTGTTGTCCCCTAGTAATAACAGTAGCTGAGCGCTGATTGTTCATGGGGCACAAGCCCCATTCTACACGCATTATTTCATTTGGTCCTCAAAACAATCCTGAGGTATGTAGGCAGCTTTTACTACAGATGAAGACACGGAATCTTAGGCTATATTTTCAGGCCAAGGGAAGTGATGGGGCCAAATTTCAGATTACCTATATCAATAATGATAAATTCTTTTTTTTCTCTACAAATATGTATTGTAGAACTCTGTATATCAGGAGTGTGAAATACAATGGTGAACCCTGAAGAGATGTCTTCTGCCCTGTCTGAATTTAAAATCTAGTGGTGACCGGAGTGTGGTGACATATGCCTTTAGTTCCAGCACTCAGGAGGTGGAGGAGGCAGGAGCCTTGCTATGAGTTCAAGGCCAGCCTGTGCTACATAGGGAGCCCAAGGCCAGTCTGAACTACATAGTGAGACCCAGTCTCAAAAAAAAAGAAATAGTGGCAAACAGGGACAAGTAAATTGATCTTTTCACTCTACTGTGATATGTACTGACTGAACAATAAAAGATGACAAAGAGCACACTTGAACTTTTCCATTTTGTATCTCCCTTCCCCTTGCATCTTTTCTGCCCATAGTCTATATTATCATCTGGCATTGTATACGCTTTACTATTTAATTTGTCCATTGGCTTGCTCCTCTTAGTAGAGTGAAAATTACCTGAAAACAGAAACATTTTGGCTAGCTTTTCCATGGCCTGTCACTGTGCCTGGCATACGGCAAGTGCTTGAATTCTTGAGTTAAATTTCAGTTGTGGATATCACGGAGGTTAAACCTTAAGGTCACTGTTTATATTTGTTTTATTTGTTTGTTTGTTTTAGTACCAGGAATCGAACTCAGGACCTTGCACTTGCCAGACAGGTGCTTATGCCACTGAACTATATGCCTGGCTCGCTGTTTATGTTTGTATTGTTTCTAAGCATTGAAATATTCTTTGAGTAGGAATTTACAAAAATGGAAATGACAGTGAACATTTATTACTAATTTTTCTTTACATTTACATAAATTGCCCCAGAGTGAAATCGGGGTGTTTGGGTTCAAATTCTAGCTCTTATCATTTCCTAGCTCTGTGACCCTGGGCAAATTGCTTAAGCCCCAGGATTCTTATCTTTAAAGTGACAATAACAGTACCTACCTCACAGGGTTGTGGTTTATGTATAATAAGCAGTCAATAAACAACATTATCCGTACCCTTTCACAGATGGGGAAAGTAAAGGCTCAGAGAAGTAAATGATCCCAGGTCAAACACTCACTGATTGGTGGACGAGTCTGAATTTGAACTCAGTTGCAACTCCTTCCCCGACTCCACTAAGGAAAGCCCTCAGGCTGATATTTTTTAGAAGGACCACCATTCCCCACCTTCCTGCTTTCCACCAGATTGTGGAAAGTTAGATTGGAGGCCTTGGATTTTCTTTCTTGATTGCCCCGTAATCCCCAAATCCTTTTGGGGCGGGACTTGCGGTGCGCTGTGTGGTTCTGAGCACGTTAATCCCCCAGTGAGCGTCAGTTTCCTCCTGTGTAAATGGAACGCCGTGGAGACAGAGGTTCTGCATGTGAAGGGGTACATCTTTCAACCTGGCGTCTCTACCTGTCTCTTCACTCCCCATCTCCTGCACGCTCCTTGGAGCGAACGCTTGACTTCAAATCTCTGCCTGCCTTCAAGGCCTCTCCCCTTCCTCCCTCATTATTCTTCGGTAGTGTTAAGTGCCAGGGACAGTTTCTGGGAAGAAGCTGACTTCCCAGTCTGATTAATGTAACTAGATTTACTCTTCCAGAAGACCATGACCCTTTAAGGGCAAGCACCAGCTATCGGGCCTCGCGCTATATCTTCATCGAGAGCAAACGTCTTAGGCTAGTGCTGTCATACAGAACACTCCAGCAAACACGGTTTCTCTTCCGGTCTTCTTAAAAAGACACGTGAGTAGGACAGATCAACAGCTCGTGTTTGCACATTCTAAGAACAAGTGCATTACTGCGTGCGCCATAGATGCCAGAGAACGACCCTCCCGGGAGAGAACTTACTGAAGCCAAATTGAGAGCTTACGGAAAGTAGTACAAAGCCATAAATCGCTCTCTCTGGCAATGGCGATGGTGGATTTTCCACCATTTTTCCCCGTGTCTGTGGACAGTCTGTGGGGAAGGAACACAGCAGTGAGTGATGGCCTCCCCTTGTCCACGGGGCTGTCACAGCGAGCGCGCCGGCGTCGGGCGCCGTCTGAGCCCGGGAGCGACCCCTGCGCACGCCCTCGGCCGGCCGGCCGGAAGGGCCCCTCCCGCTGCTGCGGGGGAGGGCGCGGGGGCGTGTGCTCCGCGCCTGCGGTGAGGCGACCTGCGCAGGTCCACCTGGGCCCCTTCGCCCCCCTCGGCGGGGGCGGGGTTCTCTGCCCGGGTCCGACTGTAGCCGCAGTTGGGGGGAGGGCCCAGAACCGAGGGGGCGGCCGGGGCGAGACCACTACCCCCGCCCGGGGGCCGGCGCCCTCGACCCTCGCAGGGAGGGGGCCCCGCGGCTGCGGAGCCGGGGTGAGTGCGCATGCGCCGCCTGCCCACGTGACGCGCCTGCTGCTTGCTGCCTCCAGCCTTGCGGCTCAGTAGGGGCCGCGGACTCGGCGGCGGCTGCTGTCCGTGTCCGAGGCTCGCGGGCTGCGGGCCCGGGTGAGTGGACGGACACCCTGCGCGCGGCTCGCAGACGCGTCAGCGTCCCGCAGCCTGTGGGAGACACCCGGGAGCGGGTCTCTCACACCCTCTCCGTGGGTGTGTGGTGAGTGTGGGTGTGCGCGCGTCGCGCGCGTCGCTCGCTGAGGGGCCGCTCTGTCTGTGTGGGCCAGCGTGGAGGGGGTGTGGCTGCTTTTGTCTGCCCTCGCGCGTGTCTGCCCTCGCGGGTGTCTTCCCGCGTCCGGTGAGCGCTCTCCGAGCGTGGGTCCCCGGGTGCGCATGGTGCGACTGTGGGAGGACTGGAAGTGGCCCTTTCGCGGGCTTGCAGCCCTGCTGTCCCGGCAGCCAGTCCCGGTCCGTGCGTGGGTGACGCCCCGGCGGGCGTCGGGTCTCCCTCGGGCTGAGCGCGCGGGAATGCGGCTGTGTGTCCCTTGCGTTTCCCTTTGTGTCTCCGCCGCCCCTTCCCGGGGCCGTGTGTGTTCCCAGCCCCCGTGGGTGGCCCCCTTCGTGTCACTGCCTTCCTCCCCGGGGTGCGCATCTCGCACTGCGCGTGGTCGAGACCCCTGCCTGGAGCGTCGCTCGCGCGCGTGCGTCCCGCGAGTGCCCGAGTGCGTGCTACGCGGGGTCCTGTTCGTGCGTGGTTGCGCGTGTGCGGGCTTCGCTCTCTAGTGTGCGGGGTTGCGTGTGTGCGGGCTTCGCCCTCCAGTGTGCGGGGTTGCGCGTGTGCGGGCTTCGCTCTCTAGTGTGCGGGGTTGCGCGTGTGCGGGCTTCGCCCTCCAGTGTGTGTGGTTGCGAGTGTGCGGGCTTCGCCCTCCAGTGTGCGTGGTTGCGAGTGTGCGGGCTTCGCTCTCCAGTGTGCGGGGTTGCGCGTGTGCGGGCTTCACCCTCAGTGTGCGTGGTTGCGAGTGT